GTCCAGGAATCCAACAGAACTGGTTTAGCCTCTTTCAGCCAAATTCACTTGGCAAACAGTTGGCTGCTTTGGAAATGGACTGATGGCGATAAGGATTTGTAGAGATGAAAATGGCCAATTGTTCCAATAAACACATTTCAGCAGCAAGGACAAGGCAGCCTTTCGGAAAATGTGGAAATGATTTCCTTCATCCGGATCTCAATGTCACTGGTTATAGACACGCTTACTGCACTAGTGAACAAAGCAACACCAGGCCTCCTGGACACCAACAATGTCTTTCATTGCAATTAAGAATGTAACAATCTCTCTCAGATTCAACTTGACAATATACTTCCTGCAATACAATGTATAGTGTTGATACAGTGATCTTGGTTGATTTAGATCACGTTACATAGGCAATCCCTTGCAATGACTTGCTGCCAATCCAGCTCAACAGCTCATCAACAACGAATAAGTTTCATGCATGATCTGATGACTTGACCAATGTGGGACAGGGGTCAGAGAGTTCAGTTCTTTGTGCAATCTCTTTAATACTTCAACTCCATGTGCTCCCCGTGAACTCTCTCGAATTGTTCTGAAAACAACAAACGCCAGTGATCACAGTGGGTCAGACAGCATCCATGGAGAGAGAGCAAGCTGACGTCTCGCGTCTGGTTGACTCTTCATCGGAGCTGTTCAGCCCAGCTCTGAGTCATTTAGATGCGAAACACGAGCTTGCTCTCACTTCACAGATGCTGCCTGACCCTCTGTGATCTCCAGCATTTGCTGTTTTCAGTACAGATTCCAGCATCTGCAGTAATTTGCTCCCCTCTCGGATTGTTCTTTTGCTTCCTTCTCTGCTCTGGTTGGTCATACTCCAGGAGCCTGAAACCTTTGACTTCTTCTGGGCTGCTTTTGACAACATCTCTAAAGTGTTTCCACTGTTCCCCGCAGTCCTCCTGCCTTGGCCGAGTTCTAAGGTGAACAGGTATTTTTGTAGAAATTTGCCTTCAATAAATATACACTTGCGATGGAATTCTTCTCAATAAATCTCAGTATTGGCACAGAATTATTTTAGAAGTGTCGCCCAATTGTATTCACAAGTAAATGGATGAGTGCAGCCCCAACAACACTCGAGAAGCTTGACACAATCCAGGACAAAGCAGCCCGCTTGATCGGCACCACATCCACTCCCTCCATCACCGACACTTAGGAGCAGGAGTGTGTCCCATCTACAAGATGCGCTGCAGCAATTCGCTAAAGATCCGTAGACAGCCTTCCACATCCATCCAGAAGGACCAGGGCAGCAGACACGTGGGAATGCCACCAATTGTAAGTTCCTCGCCATCCTGACTTGGAAATATATCCCTGTTCTTCAGTGTCACTGGATCAAGATCCCGGAACTCCCTCTCTCCCAGCACTGTGGGTCTACCTAGAGCACATGGACTGTAGCAGTTCATCCCCGCCTTCTCAAGGGCAACTAGGGACTGGCAATAAATGCTGGCCTAGCCAGCAATATAGCCATCCCATGAGCAAAAAAAAATCATAAAGTTTATCCTGAAGGTTAGCAAGCAGAGGCTCAAATACAATCAATCACTTGTTGTATGTGTTTGGTTTTTGTGTTTATAGAAGTTGATGCAAATTGAATGGGGAACATCAGTCAAATTGAGAGTGCGTAATTTCTGCTACTGATTCATTTCTATCCCGTTGTTTGACTACAGTTTCCCCAATCCGAGCTTTTTTTTTCTATTTCAGGGAAAGTTCAGGAAGAAATTGATCAGCTGATAGGAGCTGGACGATCTCCTGTAACTGAAGACCGGAAATTAATGCCCTACACTGACGCTGTGATCCACGAAATCCAGAGGTTTGCCAACATCGTCCCCCTGAACCTTCCTCATTCGACAACCGAGGACACGCACATTAAAGGACATTTCATTCCAAAGGTACTTCTGAATGATACAAACAAGGTTCGGGTTTCACAATTTGTGTCTGTGAAAAATTGGAAGTACCTTCGACCTAAATACATTAAATGGGACTGATTTGGAAATGAGTGAATCAGGAATAGCATGTTTACTAGTGGAGGAATCTCATTACATTTAAAAACAAGATGGGACCCAGCCTGGTCACTGGAAACTAACAGGATCAGGTCCGACGCTGGGTTTACACATCCCACTTCATTCACTCTCCATTGAAGTCAGGCTCAGCAATACATTCAGAATCGATTTTCTTGTTCACAGGGAACTTATGTGATTCCTGTCCTGACCTCTGTGCTACGTGATAAAACTCAATGGAAAACTCCAAACGAGTTTAACCCGGCTCACTTCCTGGATGCTGATGGGAATTTTGTGAAGAGAGACGCCTTCATGCCTTTCTCTGCAGGTAACTGGACGATGTATTCCTGTTGTAAAATATTTCCATTTCTGAAGTGATACGTGGCAGTCATTGAGAAGAATCTTTATTTTGAACTGGCAGCGACTCAAAAATGTCACAAATAGATGTGCTTTAGCATTTAGCACGGGTGTAAACTTTACAGGGAACATGGTCTTGTATTTGCTGCTCCTGTTGCTGGTCCCATCTGCTCCATTTCGGTTTTTGCTGGGACTACAGGAAATATCTTGGGTTGATTAACTGCCACCGATCCTTCTTACTGGTATCGGTCTGCGTTACTGACGTCCAATGGGGAAGGAGGCTGACACGACAACTTGGGCAGAAGATAGGCTCAGTTTTGACGTACAGTAAATACATTTATTGCATCTTACAGAATAGCTAGTAGCATCGCATCTGAGATACCACGATCTCCTCTTGTGAGATATCAGGTCCAATTTAGGAGTACAGCAAATGGCAGGGCAACGTGATTGAACATGTGAACACTCATACTTTAGAACTCGATGGGGGGAGCGCAACCCATGATGTCAATTAACCCTTTCAGGTCTGAACTGCTTTACACAGTAGAACACAAGATATAGTGGATACAAAGAGGCTGTTTGACCTCATGGTCTCGGACCAGAGGGCATATTCTGGAATAAGGGGTAGCCATTCAGCAAAGAGATGAAGAGGAATTTTGTTTCTGTCAGAGGGTGGTGAATCTATGGAATATTTTACTGCAGAGGGTGGCAGAGCTTTGGTCATTAAGTATATTAAAGGCTGAGATAGATTTTTAATCAGCGAGGGAATCAAAGATTGCAGGGAAAAGACAGCAAAGTGACCAGCCATCAGAGCAGAATCAATGGGCTGAATGGCCTTTTGTTTTACTCTCATGATTTCATGATCTATCCAATGGAGAAAACATAATATAAAATTCTGCAGAGAATTGCCCTAAAAATACTTCAGTCAAATAACAGTAATATAAATGATCACATATTCATCCAAATACTGGTCTGCAGCTAAGGTAACTTTCCATGCAAACTGTTAACACATGGCTTCTTCCTGGATCAGTTATGGCTGTTTGAACTATGTGTTTCTGGGGGCAGATGCCCCTACAATTCACAAACCTCGACGAATTTCAGAGAAAGCCAGAGCGGACCAGGACTGTTGCGTTTGTGGCACACTCTCCCTCTCTGACAATCTGCATTGAAAACCCATATATTTTACTAATCTCTATTATCCATATAGTGGACCCATATGCACAAACTGAGCTATGAGATCTCTTTCTGAAAGTGAGGTTAGCCCAGTGACTCCAACTGAGTAGATTGTGTTCTGTGCAATGTTTTTGCTGCTGTAGCCAATGCCCTTTGTTCTGATATTATATGCCCAGCCTTTAAGATTATGAATTAATGTTTCAGCTCACACATCTTCAAAACAATACCAATGAGGCATCATCCACAAAGGACCCTTCTCAGGGGTTATCTCCCCTGTGACTAAGGCAGAAATGGAGTGAGGCAGCTCCTAAGCTGCACATCTGTGTGGCAGAGGACACCATGACCTGTGGTCCATGTCTTTGACTGCCATAGGTGCATCAATATAGGGCTGGCATCGGTCGCCAGGGGCACTACTGTATAGACGAAATGCAGGCTGGTAGCTGATAATGAAGGTCCCTACCCCCGTCCATCCCAGGGAACTGGCTGTACTCCTGAATTACAGAAATACTCACAGGAAGCCTTCAAAGGAAGGGAGGAAACAGTGGAGCTTTGGATCTCAGAAGTGTGAGTGAGAGAGAGAGAGACCCTGGGTGCAATGACAGAGGGCACCATGGTCTTAACAAACTCACTGTCAATGTCGCAGGAACCAAGAGTCCCCACACAGGCCATGGGAAAGGGGCAATGCTGGTGTGGTAGCTATCACCGTACTGACGACCATGGAGGAGGAGGCTGTCAAAACCACCAAGGTGCCAACTTGGCAGGAAGTCGCCAAGGGCAAGCCGGGTGTATGTCCGAGGGAGAGGGTGAAAGGATCTCACTGCCCTTTGTCTGATGGGGGTGGATCACCCTCCTCCCTGATGCAGCCCTGTCACGTGCTGTTGCAGTTACCAGGAACAAAGTGACCAGTGCACCATGCTACAGGGGGCCACTCAATTGGGGAGAGCAAAGAGAAAAGTGAATATTGGGAGGGATTCTATCAGTAGAGGTACGGATGGCATCCTTTGTGAGCAGGATCAGGAGTCCTGCATGGTATGTTACGTACCCAGTGCCAAGGTAAGGGACGTCTCAAACCAGAATGAAAGGTTATTGGAGTGGGAGGAGGAGGACCCAATAGTTGTGATCCATGTTGGCACCAGGAACATAGGCAGGAGTTCCTGTTTGGAAGCATCAAGAATTAGGAACACAATTTAAAGAAAACAGAACCTCGAGGGTTATGATCTATGGATTATTACCTGAGCTCAAATTAGGATAGATGTAAAGAAAAATTATGGAAGAAAACACAGTTAAAGGAGTGGTGTGGGGTAAAAGGGGTTCCATTTCACGGGGCACTGCTGTCAGTATTGGGAAAGGAAGAAATTGTACTGTTGGGACAGGCTCCACCTGAACTGATCTGGGACCAGGATCCCAGTGGAAAGGCTCCATTGGCTGGTCACAAGTAGGTTGAACTAGATTAAGCTGGAGGAGGGGGGCGCATTCAGCAGAGGTTATTAAAGTAGTAGGTCAGAGAGGTGGAAACTGGTCAGGAATCTAACTTCAGGCACAGCAGAGAAGTGGACAACTATCAGAACCGGGGGATGTTCAACGCAGGACTGAAGGTGAATTATCATAGAATTGTCTCTGGTGTGAGTCCTGTAGAGGCATGTCAGTGGAATAAATGGGAATGCTTTTTACACAATCTTTAAATGTTTACTGTATGTGAATTCTTTGGTTTATCCTATATAGTCTTAATTTCAGACTGTTCAGCAGAGATTTTAGGAAGCACTTCTACACATAAAGGTGGTAGATGTTTGGAATTCTCTTCCACAAACTGCAGTTGATGCTGGATAAGCTTTTAGTTTGAAATCTGAGATAGGTACACATTTGTAAATCAAAGGTATTAAGGGACATGTGCCAAAGGCAAGTATGTGGAGTTACACAACAGATCAGCCATTAAGCTGTAGAAATGACTTGGTGGGCTGAATGGCCCACTCCTGCTCCTGTGATTCCTTCAGCCTGGGATCTGACTCAGAATCAGAGTCTACAGCACAGAAGCGGACCCTCATCCTTGTCCAACTTGTCCGTGCAGTTCAGACATCCCAATCTGACCTATTCCCATTTGCCAGCATTTGGCCTACACGCCTCTAAACCGTTCCTATTCATGTCCCCATCCAGATGCCTTTTAAATGTTGTAATTGTACCGGCATCCACCACGTCCTCTGGCAGCTCATTCCATACACGCACCACCCTCTGCATGAAAAAGTTACCCCTCAGGTCTCTTTTAAATCTTTCCCCTCTCACCTTAAACCTATGCCCCCTAGTTTTTGACTCCCCACGCTAGGAAAACAACCTTGGCTATTCACCCTATCACGCCCCTCATGATTTTATAAACCTTTATAAGGTCACACCCACATGCCAGGGATGCAGTCCCAGCAACATCCTTGTAAATCTTTTCTGCATTGTCTCAAGTTTAACACCATCCTTCCTATAGAAGGGCAATCAGAATTGAATGCTATATTCCAAAAGTGGCCTCACCAGTGTCCTGTGTAGCCACAACATCACATCCCAAATCCCAAACTCAATGTTATGACCAATGAAGGTAAGGTGCCAAACGCTTTCTTCACCAGCCTGTCTCCGTGTGACTCCACTTTCAAGGAATTATGCACCTGAACCCCTAGGTCTCTTTGTTCAGCAACACTCCGCAGGGCCGTCCCATTAACTGTATAAGCCCTGCCCTGGTTTGCCTGACTAAAATGCAACACCTCACTTTATCTAAATTAAACTCCATCTGCCACTCCTTGGCCCATTGGCCTATCTGATCAAGACACCATTGTACTCTGAGGTAACATTCTTCGCTGTCCACTACACCTCCAATTTTGGCGTCATCTGCAAACTTACTAACCATACCTCCTATATTCACATCCAAATCATTTATGTAAATGGAAAAAAGAGCAGCGGACCCAGCACTGATCCCTGTGGCACACCACTGGTCACATGCCTCCAGTCTGAAAACAACCCTCCACCATTGCCCTCTGTTTCCTACCTTCAAGCCAATTCTGTATCCAGTTGGCTAGCTCTGCCTGAATCTCATGTACTCTAACTTTGCTAACCAGTCTACCATGCAGAACCTTCTCAAACACTTTGCTAAAGTCCATATAGACAATGTCTACTGCTCTGCCTTTATCAGTCTTCTTTGTCTTCAAAAAACTCAATCTAGTTAGTGAGACACGATTTCCCACGCACAAAGCCATGCTGACTGTCCCTAATCAGTCCTTGCCTTTCCAAATACATGTAAATCCTGTCCCTCAGAATCCCCTCCAACAACTTTCCCAGGCTTTTTCTTACAGCCTTATTTAAATGATGGCACCATGTTAGCTAACTTCCACTTTTCCGGCACCTCACCTGTGGCTATCAATGATACAAATATCTCAGCAAGGGGCCCAGCAATTTCTTCCCCAGCTTCCCACAAAGTTCTGGGAAACACATGATCAGGTCCCAGGGATTTATCTACCTTTATGCATTTTAAGACCTCCTCTTCTGTAACATGAATTCTTTTCAAGATATCACTATTCATTTCTCCAAGTTCCCTAGCGTACATGTCCTTTTCCACCGTAAATACTGACATGAAATATTCACTTAGTACCTTACCCATCTCCTGTGGTTCCACACATAGGCGGCCTTGCTGATCTAAGGGCCCTTATTCTCTCCCTAGTTACCCTTTTGTCCTTAATGTATTTGTAGAATCCCTTTGGATTCTCTTTAAACTTATTTGCCAAAGCTATCTCATGTCCCCTTTTTGCCCTCCTGATTTCCCTCTTAAGTATACACCTACTGCCTTTATACTCTTCCAGGGATTCACTCGATCCCAGCTGTCTATACCTGACATATGCCTCCTTCTTTTTCTTGAGCAAAGCCTCAATTTCTGTAGTCATCCAGCATTCCCTACACCTATCAGCCTTGCCCTTCACCCTAATAGGAACATAATATCTCTGAACTCTCATTCTTAAAGATCTCCCACTATCCCTTTACCTGTGAATAGCCTCCCCCAATAAACCTTTGAAGGTTCCGGTCCAAAACCATCAAAATTGGTCTTACATCAATTTAGAACTCTAACATTTCCATCAGTTCTATCTTTTTTCCACAACTGCTCTAAAACTAATAGAATTATGATCACTTGCCCCAAAGTGCTCCCCCACTGACACCTCTGTCACTTGCCCTGCCTTCTGTCTCAAAAGAATAATAACCTTAGCTGGGATAGTAGTAGTTTGTGTGGGAGAGTCGGGTGGATGTAGAGGATCAGTAAGCATCTTATGGAATGGGGTAAGGGGCTCAAGTGATTGAATAGACTCCACTTGTCTATGAATGGACCATGTGTGTTGGTGAGGTACTGACAGTGCCCTGTTCTTTTTCAGGTCAGAGGGTGTGCGCTGGTGAGGCGTTGGCTAAACTGGAGCTTTTCCTGTTCTTCACCACCCTGCTGCAGAAGTTCCATTTCCAGGCTCCACCAGGTGTGACGGACCTGGATACCAGCCCAAGAATAGGCTTAGTCACCAACCCGAAACCTCACCGGGTTTGTGCTGTGCCTCGCTGATGGCACCAGTGACAGTCCCAGCAAATCTTTCACTGCTGAGTTTGTAAATGTGGGTCCTTGATTACGCTATCTCTAACCAACCTGCTTGCATAAATCGGCCCGAAACGTCAGCCTTCCTGCTCCTATGATGCTGCTTGGCCTGCTGTGTTCATCCAGCTCTACACCTTGTTATCTCAGATTCTCCAGCACCTGCAGTTCCTACTATCAAGGAGAATTTTCTCCGGTTGTATAATGAAGCTGGAATCCCGTCGAGAGGTACAAGTCTACTTATCTCTCAACCTATCCAACTTAGCATTGAGTTAATAGGGCTATTGAAATGCATTGAAACTGATGCTTTGCAATTAATGAATGTTTAAGCCTTGTTCTCTAACAATAACCAACATTTTTCTCACCCACCAGTTTATGTTAGTCAGACTCTTACCTAATGCAATAATGAAAACTGTCAGATTAATAATGGATGTGCTGATTAAAAATCTAATAAAGACGCTCTAACTTCAACATACAAATGTTGTTACTGGAAAATGGAACTCAAAGTGCAGAAGTGGATGGCATACAATACAGTTAGATAGCTCTTAGGTATTTATTCATCAACCTGTGGTGCTGCCTCATTGTTAACTGCGTGATTGATACTGTAGGGGGTATTTTCGAACTCTCAAAGAAACACCACGAGGACGAGAGTCTTGCTTCAGCAGTAGCACTTCTTTACTCAAGCTTGCAATCGATTACAGCAGGGAGAGCTCCAAGACACAGTCACACAGGACGGTCAGGGAGGCTCTGATTAAACAGGTTAAAACAAATTGCAATTGTACTGTGACAACAAGGTGCAGGGCTGGATGAACACAGCAGGCCAAGCAGCATCGTAGGAGCAGAGAGGCTGACGTTTCGGGCCTAGACCCTTCATCAGAAAAGGGGGAGGGGAAGGGGGTTCCGAAATAAATAGGGAGCGAGTGGGAGGCGGATAGAAGAGGGATAGAGGAGAGGATAGGTGGAGAGGAAACAAACAGGTCGAAGAGGCGGGGATGGAGCCAGTAAAGGTGAGTGTAGGTAGGGAGTTAGGAAGGGGATAGGTCAGTCCAGGGAGGACGGACAGGTCAAGGAGGCGGGATGAGGTTGGTCGGTAGGAGATGGAGGTGTGGCTGGAGGTGGGAGGAAGGACAGGTTAGGGAGGCAGGGACGAGCTGGACTGGTTTTGGGATGCGGTAGGGGAGAGGGGAGATTTTGAAACTTGTGAAATCCACATTGATACCATTGGGATGCAGGGTTCCCAAGCGGAATATGAGTTGCTGTTCCTGCAACCTTCGGGTGGCATCGTTGTGGCACTGCAGGAGGCCCAGGATGGACATGTCGTCTGAGGAATGGGAGGGGGAGTTGAAATGGTTCGCGACTGGGAGGTGCAGTTGTTTATTGCGAACCGAGCGTAGGTGTTCTGCAAAGCGGTCCCCGAGCCTCCGCTTGGTTTCCCCGATGTAGAGGAAGCCACACCGGGTACAGCGGATGCAGTATACCACATTGGCAGATGTGCAGGTGAACTGTGTTTTAGCAAGGCAAGGTTATTACTTAGGCAACCAGACATATATTAATTGAAGCAGAATCCAGTGAAGATAAAAGTGTACAGATACACATTTTTGCTATCTATCCTACATGACTTCTCAGGCTTGGGAAAGGCAGTTTGTAGTTACAGCAATATGTACTGTTTCATAAAACTAAAGTTTCTCTTCTTTGTGCTCCTAGTCATGTATTATTTTAACTCATTTCTGCTCAGCCCGAAATTAGACAGTCTCAACATACAAGTATTCCACAATTCCTTCCTTTTTGATCTCCAGATCAACTTCACCAGTCTTCTTCTGCCAATGGAGGGTTGTACCCCAGGGGAAAAGGTCTCACGCCCAAGCATTCCTTCTCATCATAGTCGGGACTGTTGGATATGTAACGGGGAAACATGGGAGCAGGGTTTTGTCTCCCCTGGGGCAGGATGGCGCATATTAGGCAGGTCGCTAGAACGCATACTACAGTTATAACAAGGATGATCCCATAGTGGGTCAGGGTGCTCCACCAAGTCCCAAAGGGCCACCATCCAGATCCTGGGGCGTTGTAGTTGTGGAATTGATTCCCTATCCTGTGGTTACTAACCGTCAGGTCCTGGGTTCTGAGTCAGAACGGAGTAGTCTTTTAAGTTTTAATTACTGGGGTGGTGTCTTCATCTTCCATCCTTCCCCTAGGATAGCCTGACTACGTGTTTGTGTGTAGTGTCCTAACGGTTTGTGGCTGGGTGGTGGCTGCTTCAATACAACAGTGAATCAGCAGAGCTCCAAGTCCAGATCTGCACAGAGATCTGTATAGATTCAACACAGAATATTTCTGAAAGCCAAAACTTATTTTCACTTTTGTTATCCTTAAGCATGAGGAATCGACTGTGTCAAGCAGTGCTAGTGTCCCTCCCTTGGAGCCAGGTGACCTGAGTTCAAGTCCCACCTCTTCCAAAGGTGTGGAATAACATCTCTGAACAGGTCGATCAGAAAATATTTCCTTATGCCAAAGAATCAAAAGAATTAAAGTTCAACATCAATAGGGTAGAGAATAAGGGCTGGATATGGAAAGGGTGTGAGGTGACTTGCTAGTCTGTGACAGCCCATTTAGCCCTTCCTGGTTGAAATCTTTGCTCATGTGAGCGGGATTGATGGAAGGTACTAGCACAACACAGTCGATGTGTGAAACGGACAGTTCTTGCCCCCTTGTTCTTTGGGAGGACCAATGGGTGGCCAAGCCACTAATGCTGCCTTCCCATTGTCACGCAGTACAGTCCAAACTGAGGAGGAGTCCAAGAGAAAGTGATCCTCCCTCTTAGAATCAGATAGAGGCAATTTGGCCCATCAAGTCTGCACCAACCCTCAAAAGAGCATCCCAGCCAGACCCACCCAATCCTTGTAGCCCTGCATTTCCTGTGGCTAACCCACCTAGCCTGCACATCCCTGGACACTATGGGGCAATTTAGCATGGCCAATCCACCCTAACCTGCACATCTTTGAACTGTGGGAGGAAATGCATGCAGATATGGGGAGAATGTGCAAACTCCACACAGAGAATCACCAGAGAGTGGAATCGAACCCGGGTCCCTGGCACTGTGAGGCAGCAGTGCTAACCACTGAGCCACTGTACTTCAGGACTTCCCTTAGGTTCAAGGATGGCTTGACTCCACACCGGTTCAGTGGGTTAATGCTATGGTCTAGAATGAGTTGGCAGGGATGTTTGACTTCTGCCAGGATGTTTGGAGGGCACTAAAGCATTCCCACCATCCTCCTGGGAATCTCGAGCTATTGTGACAGAGCTCCAAAGAGAGAAAACTGTTGTGGGGAATCTGGGATAAGGCACACAGACATGTCCCACCATTCATGTTGTGAACGATTAGCGCCCCAATATCAGCTTGGGTTCAGAGAATTCTCCATTCGAACAACTTTCTTACAAAGTTTGCAGCATCTTAAGAAAATATCACTGATGGAATTTCAGTGCTTTCAGATGTTTGCTGTAAGCTACCCAGTTTTCAAAGCAAATTGGACTGCAGAGCCCTGATCAAATAGATCAAGTGAGCCATTTCACTCAAAGAGAGCTGTCCTGCACTAAAATGATTAAGTTCCTGTTATCATTTGTCCATTACACATGCATTTTTTGATGAGGTTAGCTTCATGTTGATTAAATATCTAATAAATGTACTCTAACTTCAATATGCAAATGTTGTTATTGGAAAATGAAACTCAAAGCGCAGAAGTGGATGGGGTGACAATACAGTTAGATAGCTTGTAGGTGTTTACTCTTCACTCTGGCACTGCCTCATTGCTATCTATGTTATTGATACAACAGTGAATCAGCAGAGCTCCAAGTCCAGATCTGCACAGAGATATGAACAGATTTAACACAGAATGTTGCCATATCACAGCTGATTGTAATACCAGACAAGTCAGTTCCCAGACTGAGACCTACCTTGAAAGATCATAAGTTTGATTCTTTTTTTCCTTTTTGATTCCGACTGAACATATTCACACGAGGCTGCCAGTGTCCTTTTAACAAAAGAACACAAAAAGATTTATTGCGCACAAAAGCAAAAAGATGAACATTGGGCTAAATTCTCTGGAAGAAAATAAAAGGCAATTGTGTCATTGTCGAGGCATTTCATGAAGGGGCTCCCTCTGTGAGCTGTAATGTTTTCTCTCATGCTATTCTCTGCAGTGTGCATCATTATGTGTGTGCCATGCCTCCACAGTGTCCTCACGCCATCACGCACACAGCAATGGCAGACATACTCAGCATTCCGGGGACTTTCTGGGATCCCCAGCTTCGGCATCATATATAAACCCCAGCTCTATCAACCAGGAGCTACCCTTCAAAGTGCACACAGTGGGAGCAGAATGAGACATAAACACTTCAGAGGCACTCACATTGCAACTATAGAGTCATTTTTCCAAATGTCCTGCCATTGTACATCATCTCCTGTCTGGCTGAATGCTGTTGTAACTGCGGTAACAAAACCCAAGCTGGACATGTTAACCATCCTTAGCGTCACACTGTGTTTACAGCAGTTCCAGTCTTTCCCCCTAATGCCCAGTGCAGTGTAACATCTTGCCATTGTTCAATGTGGGAGGCATCACACAAAGGGCAGTCTTTTAAACTGTTGGAAACGTTAATATTTATTCAACAACAGACAAAGAAAATAAACTGCATTTGCTTCTGCGAACAGACAGGAGCTGATTACCTTTCCAGCGACAACCATTTTATACTCACTGCACCCAGATCACATCTGTTGGCACCTCGTGTCCATTAAGTCTGTCTGACATGTTGCACTTGTGTAGCCTTTTTGCAAATTGTGCCTCACAAATGGAACTTTTAAAGTCTCCTGCAGTCACTTCCAATTCAGGGGGATGTCTACGTCGAAGCTCTAATGACCAACGACATGTTGACGATTGCTCGGCCCAGGATTTGGGCCCCACTGCATGCATTTCACGTTCAGGGTACTATCCTCACAGATGTCTTCAATCTGTATTGTGTAGGTGCCTGATTGTAACGATTGCCCCGCGAAAGGGCTTACATTGCCCACGAGTACTGCCCATATGCTCAGACAGAAAGAAAACCCCCACTTACTCATCAATTCCGGATGGGATCGTGGCCATTTTTCCCATTTTCATTGCACATTTACGACACACATATGGTGATGGAAGCTGACACAGGCTGTGATTGGCTCAGTGAAGGGCAGACTCATCCTGGTAGTCAAGGGATCCCTACTGAACACCCATCTTTCTTTCCTGCTAGCCCCTCCCTGTCAAGGCAACTACCTTCCACACATTCCCACATAACTCTTTCATTGATGCCTCCATAGCCCTAAGCTCCTGGTCCTGTAGCTTAGCCAGGTCAATCATCACGCTACACCATCCTTCTGTCATAGTTGGTGATTGCCAATAAACCCCTCTCCCATAGTAACCATATTCTCCAACGTACCCTCGTCTCCCTTT